TATATATTCCATAGAAATTTTTTTTAATCCACGATTTTGCGCCGCAAAATGCCAAAAAATGCAAAATATTTTTTTTTATATCGATTCATCATAAAACCAATAATGTGACACGAGTATTTTAATCTGAGCATGTGTCCAATCTTCTTCAAAGATAATTAAAGACAGTGCCATTTTAATAATTAACGCGCTTGGATGTTGAGAGATTTTTATTTCTCTTGGGCGTAAATTGTTCCATAGGCCAAACATGGCAACTAAATTACTGCGCCTGCAGGTATGTACTTAGGTGAATCATACATAGGCTGTCCTATGTAAATTACATTGATTATACATATGTAAATTAATTATTGCAAATTATACAGAGTTTTATGTTAATTATTCACAGATGTATGCGTAATTTGAAGCGCGACGTTTCATTTTTGAAATAATTATTGCGACAACTGTATAATATTCATATTGTTTGTATCTTTATCTTTTATATTGCATTCTGAGATTTATTCTTTGTTCTTAATCCATATAAATAATACCAATAACGTAACCATATTTTCGAAACATTTTATAAAATGTGTTGGCAACTGTATAATTAACTTATTGTATAATTAGTGTAACTGTATGTAATTAATTTATATATTGAATTATATATAGAATTATTGTATGAGAGTTTCAGAAATTATCACTGGCCAAAAAAATACAATAATTGATTGTAGAAGTGTGAATCATCGAATAAAGGAGAAAAAACGATTAGAAAAGTAAAGTAGTGGCGTGACTGAAACATTCGTGCGATTATATAACAAATTGCAACAGAGCGAGCCAACGTGATAAGCATTTCCACATCGAATCGAGCATTATTTGTAAAATAAAATAGCTAATTCGAAACGCACTAATTAATTATGCCCAAAACAACGATGCGGCGTTCTCTCACGCGCACATATTTTCGTGCGCAGGATCACACAAATAATTCGATCGGCGAATTTATTAATTCGATTAATTGAATGTTCCGTTTCGGGACGACGTGATATTTTCTCTCCCCTCCCCTCCCCCCCTCCCCCCTCGTCCGCTTCTATACAAACGCTAAAGCATTGTCATCACGCGGCACAATTTCCCGTAAATTATTCCGCCGAAAATGATCTTTGCCGGACGACATGTGCGTTGAAAATCGGTATCGCGAAGCAATAACTGCGATTAATACATTTCTAAATTGTTGGATGTCAAGAAAAAGCTTTAATTTGATTTAATTCGAGTTAAGAGATGAAAACAGAAAATATCCTGATTTAATTGTTAACTCTAACAATTTTGTATAAGAATGCTTAATATAAGAAAATATTCCAGTATGTGTGTAAAAAATAAAAGAGACTATCATCTCGATCAAAGCCGCGAAACAAGATCAAAAGATCAGAAAAATCAATCCGAAAAAGCTGCAAGATCTCGATCGAGGATCGCTATCCTGGCTGATCGGATTCCGCGCCCTCCCCCCGCCCCCCTCCCCACCACCACC